CCACATTGATGATGCAGTTTTCAAATATATATATATATATATATATATATATATATATATATATATAAAAACATATATGCTTATATATGCATACATACATACATACATACATACATACACAGAAGATTTTGCTAAGATGATTATCTATATTTGCAGGTGTGGCTGAAAAGCTCAATGTACAATAAAGAGTACCTTCCATACTATATGCATGTAAAGACAACATATTTATCAAAGTATTTACTTATATCTTTTGTTTTACATTATCTATATTTCCCAATGTAATCTACTAACTTTCCCCTCCCAAGGAACCATTCCTTATAAAAAAAAATTTTAAAGAGTTCAGCAAACTAACATATCAAAAAAGTCCGACATTATTTGCCATGTTCCACACACATAGTTATCGCAGGTGCCCTTGGATACCTCTTCTTTGGGGCAGGCTTGATGACTGTTATTTCAAAGTATCATTTCAATTATTCTGACATGTTGTTCTTTTCATTTACATTATGGGTATTTTTTCCTGGTTCTGCTTACTTTAATGCACTTCAGTTCATATAAGTCTTCTCATGCTTCTGAATTCATATGCTTCAGTACTTGAAGACCAGTAATATCCTATTACATACATGTACCATAACTTGTTTAGCCATTCTCCAAATGATGGACATTTACTTTGCTCCCTGCTCTTTGCTATTACAAGAAGTGTTGCTATAAACATTTTGGTACATGTGGGACTTTTCTTTTTGTAACCAACCTCCTTGGGGCATATGTATAGCAGTGAACGATCTCTGGGTCAAAAGATAAAGACATTTTAGTCACACTCACTGCATAATTCTATATTGCTTTCCTGAATGGCTGGAGTAATTCACAGTCCAACCAATAATACATTAGTGTGTCCATCTTTCCACAATTCCTCCAACATTGGACATTTACATCTTTTAACATCTTTGCCAATTTGCTGGGTGTGAAGTGAAACCTCAGAGCTAAGAGACAACATATTTATCAGAAACTTCCATCTCCTGCTCCAGCTGAATTTTTCAACTGATTAATATGGAGACTCAAGTCAAAATGAAATTTAACTCTTGCCAGATGACTTATACTCATACACCTGGCTAGGGACCAGACCTGTGATTTAATTGGTATGGTGAACTCTTACACAAGTAAACTACCTCTATCAACAGGGATGGGTACCTTCCCTGAAATCTAGTCTTAGAGACTAGAGAGGTTACTGAGGTCACTGAGAGGTTAAGAGAATTATCCAGAGTCACCTAGGCAGTACATGTCAGAGGCAGTACTTGAACCCACATCTTCCTGGCTTCAAGGCCAGCTTTCTAACCAACTACATACCATGATGCCTTATATTCTATATGAGATAATATATGGAAAGTGCTTTGCAAACCTTAAGTTGCTATACAAATGTGGTAGTCATTATTGTTATTATTAAAACAGCACTTGAATAATGTATGTAAAAAGAGTGCTGCTGCTAGTAGTTTCTGAGTTCTTACTCCGAGTTCAAGATTATCTAGTGATATATCCTGCCTAAAAAAATGCTATTTTATGCATACATATGCACACATCAATACCTATATTGCGACTTAAGGTCTGAAATGCACATTCATAAATTATTTCACTTGAACCTCACAATAATCCCGTGAAGTAGGTACCAGAGATATTATTATCCACATTTTAAAGATGAGGTAACTGAAACTCAGAAAAGTTAAATAACTCCCCAGAGTTACACAACAAGTGTCACAAAGATTCAAATCTGACTCCAAGTCTAGTGCTCTTTCATAATAAAAGCCATACCTAAAAGTGACCAAGCATGATAATCACAAACTGTGGCCAAAACAAAGGGAAACAAGTTTGTATATGGCATCACTAATAGGTGTAGTTCTTCCTCCAGGACCCTAATTTGCTATCTGGGTAGTCAGAATATAAGAGTAAAAACAGGAAGCATGAAATTTCATTATACATCCTCAAGATATGATAGAGGCTAGAAGCTATTCAATAGGAGACAAAAAGGAGGGATCCACCCATCTAAAGGTAAAACCAGTGGGGGGGGGGGTAGAGAGAAGCCAAATCTCCAGTTGCTTCTCTTGTTCATCCCTTGATAACAACAGTAGCTACTTGAGATATGATAGGTCAACTTTATGCTCTTAAAGTAAAAATGGCTCCTACAGAATGGCCAGCTCTGTTTAATGTAGTGCTTGCTTCCAGTAGAATATCATAAGCAGCAACACAGAGATATTAAGTGTGTGCCTCTCTCGTCCATCAGATCACCCTTCCATTCCCAAGTTTTTTGGTCCCATTACCTGCAGGTGTTTCATCAGGCCCCAGCTGTTTCTCTCTACTCTGACCATCTCTTTCTTTCATAACTTCCAAGAAGTTACTACCTACATTTAGGGTGAATGTTGTTCTTGATGGGTTGTTTCAGTCACGTCCAACTCTGTGACCCCATTTTAGAGTTTTCATGGCAAAAATACTAGAGTGGTTTGCCATTTCTTTCTCCATCTCATTTTAAAGATGAGGAAACTGAGGCAAACAGAATTAAGTGACAGTATCTGAGGCAGGATCTGAACTCCTGAAGATGAGTCTTCTTGACTCCAAATATAATACCACATTATACCAAATATAAAGTTTAAAAATACCATGAAGAACATTTGGACACTGGATTTTCTCTGGTTTTCTGAGGTTTTGGCCCCACATAAGTCTATCTACAATGAAGAGTGCCACATACACTGCACTCTTCAGTGGTATACGACTAACAAAGTAATAGCTATGTCTAACAGAGGCAAATCACACTAATAGACAGACTTGGCCTCAGAAGTCAGGAAGACCTGGGGGCTCCAGTCCCACTTCTGCCATACTAGAGCTCTATGTTTACAGTTAAGTCTCTTAACCTCTCAAAGTCCCAAACCACCTTCTAAGACAGCAAGTTGCAGAACAGTTTTATGATTCAAATTGGTAGAGTCAGTGTCTACCCCAAGGATCTCTCAACACCAAAGAAATCATATGTGGGGTTGCCCTAGAAAGTGGGGATGAGAACATGTACCTCCCTCTCTTTTGTACAGAAGTAGGGACCAACTACTAATGCAAAACACTTCATATGCTCTCAGACTTGGGTGATGTGTTGGTTAGTTTCGCTTAACTGACTTTTTTCTTTTTTTTAATTCTTCACAAGGGATGCCTTGAAGGATAAGGGAGGAAGAAGGATATATTTGGAAATGAAGCTCATGTGAAAACAAAAGGAATCAATAAAAAAATTTTAAGGCATACCAAAAAAATCACAAATACAAGCAATAAAAAAAACCTGCTCTCAAACAACAAAGAGCAGGATACTCCTTCATTAAATTGTCCAGATGTGTCCCCAATTTACCAGAATCAGTATTTCATATGGCTTGAGTTTCCACCAGTTCACTTTATTTACTATAGCAACTTTGTTAGAGCCTAGGAAATAAGAAACCAGGCAAGCAATCAAGATTTAGTAATAAGCAAGGCTGTACTATCATTAATGAAGCCACTGCAAATCAAATTTTCAATTTTCAACTGGATTCACTTTTCATAACATCCCAAGAAAGGAGACAGTTTAGAACACTAAATGCCCACATAATGAACTCTTAGGACAGTTGAAAAGTAGCTTAATGCCACTAACTTGGTCCCTAAGATAAAAACTTATGTTCTCTCAACAATCTTAAGTAAGTGAACCTTAAAGAGGAAAAGCTTTAAACCGTATTTATGAACATCTGACTCCAGGAAGCATTTCAAGAAAGAAAAGTTAATCATTCAATCTAGGCTGTAAGAGGCATTTTTTTTAACACCAGAATTGTTTTTCCACAATCTTTTCAAACCATTCTGAAAATGGTGGTTAGATAAAAAGCATCACCATCGAGAAACTATCTGGAGAAGTGGGATTACTATCATGAAATCAACCAATTTTGTATATAAAACAAATGGGCAATTGTTAAGTGAGAAAACATAATTTTAACAAAGCAGAACCTGTTTAGCTTTTTATCAGAGTTGCCTAATATAGTTCCAAGGTGGTAGCTAAAACAAATATAACAAAGGAAACAAACTCCTGGCCTTCACCAAAGCCACAGATTGCTGGATTACAACTGACTCAACTCAAAGCCAAATGCCTATCAGTAATACTCCTCCCTCCTCTCCTGCTCCCTAGCCACGGATAACTTACATATAGTAATAATTTACCTATAAAGCAGAGGGAAAACAAATGTTATGTATATGCTGTATCATCATAACGAACAATAAATAATCACCAAATCATAAAAAAAAAGTTCCCCACAGCAGAGGTGAGGCCTGAAAAAGATCTGAATTCCAAATAAATTCAACCATCCTGAAAAACGTAGGTCCACAGACTACCGACACCCTTTCTTCACCAACTGGTCTCACTTCTTTAATTCACTTCTACGCTACGCTAATGATTCTTCTTTGCCCTCCGTCATTAATTCTTTATTTCCCCCATACCCCGTTTCCTCCTCTTCTCTCCTTTCCTCTATTTTGAAATGCTATCACTGTCTTCTTCAAATTCTATTTCTTTAGATACCCCCAACTCATCTCACCATGCCCTATTATCTTCCATATGCATTATATCCCAACCTCTCAACTACCTCTGGCTTTCCCATTTCCTTAATTCTTCCCTTCTGTCTTACAGTGCATTATTATTATGACCTACTCCACAGGCTTCCCAAGCCACGAAGTCCCCCTTTTACTGTATCGTTTCTCTGCCCTGTGCCCCCTTAGAAACTCCTCGGGCAGCCCCTAACTGTCTCCTCTTCCTTCCCCCCCCCTGCCATCACTGCCCGCAGCGGCCTCTCATCCTCCCAGGGTCCGCATCCCAAGGCTCTCATTTCTTATAAGCTCCGGACTCCCTCCTCCCCCCTTAAACCACTCCTGGCCCCTCCCCCACCTGGGTCGCTCAACCAGCTTCCCCCCCCCACTTTCCCTACCCCCAGTCTCTTCCCTTCCTCTCTCCCCTCCCCCAGACTCACCTCACCCCTCCCCCGCGGTCGCTTTCGCTTCGGTAGCCTCCCGGCTCTGGGCTCCGCGTCCGGGACGCCCCGGGGGTCTGACAAGAGGAAAGAGGACCTTTTCTTTTTCCCCTCCTCCTCCTCAGCCGCCGCGCTCTTCCCCCGCTCTCCACGTATCCGCCACCGCCGCTGCTTCCCCCACTTCCCACCTCAGCAAGGCCCCGGGGGGCCGGGCAGAGAATCACCTCCGGGGCCAAGGGGGCAGGAGCTCCGGTGTATTCAACCCGACCCCTCTAGGGGGGATATCTGCCCGCCCCACCCGAGAGCCTCAATCGGCGCGTGCGCCCGAAGCGCTTAGCGAGCCGGGCGCGTGCCCGCGTCGGCGCGAACCCGGGGCGCCGAGCTCGAAGCCGCTGGGGAAGTGGGGAACAGCGGGCTACAGGCTCGTCTAGGTACGCGGGAGTTCGAAGGCGACACGCGCAGGGAGACCCTCGGGGTGGAAATGGGGAGGCGGGGTTCCTGTTTAGTCCCGCCTCCTTCCTCAGCCTTGCTTCACCCCAGCACTTGGCACTAACACTTTGAGCGCCACCCCGACCCCAACCCCAACCCCCTACCCCCCCAGGTTGGGGGAGCACCAGTCCAGCAGAGGTGGAGAGTAAGGGACAAGGGAGAAGAAACGGAGACGGGAGGGGTCGCGAGCGCACGCGCAGAACCGTCTTTGCCCTGAAAAGCGGGCGGTAGAGGCGCGCACGCTGGCTGGCTCGGAGATCCGAGTTCCAACGGCGGAAAGAGCCGACCTTTTTCCGGAGCTTGCCGAACACGAGAACCGAAGAGGAAAGGGATGGATTAGCTCCACCCCTATCTCTAACGCAGAAAGACCTCTCCTCCCTTCCGACCCCAAAGGATTCCGTCCCCTTGCTTCATACAGTTCCATTTTGTCTCCAGCCTGTTTGCTTCCCCAAATTTTTAACTCCGAAGCCCCCTTCGCCGAGGGGGGGGAAAATGTTTGGTAACCCACGGCAACGGCCAGCTGGGGGCTTGGCCTCAGCGCTGCCTGCAGTGCTTCCACCGTCCTGGCCTGTGGGACCCCACGTGTGCCAGGTACCGCTACCATCAGTCTATGGGCCACCCCTAGCCGTCCTCTCTTCCGCTCCGGCTCTGAGACTGCACAGCCAGGAGTCAGGCCAAAGGGGGATTTCTAAGTCCACTGGCTGGGTGGAGCTGTAATGAGCTGTTCTCCTTAATTTCAACAGATCAGTCAGTTAACAAGCATCTGCTGTGTGCCAGGCACTATACTAAGCGGTGGGAATACAAAAAAGGGCAGTCTCTACCTCAAGAAGCTTAGCCTCTAATGGGGTAGACAACATGCAAACATATACATCCTTATGTACTTAACTATATACAGGATAATTAAGAGAGAAGGCACCAGAATTAAGAAGGGTTGAGGAATGCTTCCAGTAAAAGATGGGATTTTAGCTGAGACTTAAAGGAAGCCAGGGAGGTTAGTAGTGAAGTTTAGGAGGGAGAGTATTGTATGTTTCTACTCCATGTTTGTTTCCTATAGTAATCCTGGGTTCCCTCCTTAGACTGTATGCAAATTTCCAGGCTGCAGGAACTTTGTCCAGTGGTAAGGGAGGAGGGGAAGAAGATAAAGTAATACAATATAGTACATAATATTTCATATTTTACATTTTCCTCTTGCCTCACCCCTGTGCCTAGAATTCTGCTCTGACAGATATAGTCTCCAGAAATGTTGGTCAGTGGTATATTAAGAGGGGGCTTCTAAGGGCTGAGAGGTAAGGAGTTGACTTTAAGGAGATGAACCAGAAACTTCCTTGCTTCTTGTTAATTTCTGAAACCTCAGCATCTCAGAACTTCAGAGGTGATCCATCTAGTACAACCTTAAATAGAATCTCCCCCAACACCCTCTAAAACATTAACAAAGTGAGTATTCTATCTTCCTTGGAAAACCTCAAATGTTGATTCCATTTCTGAGCAGCGGTAATTGTTGGAAGTTTTTTCTGCCACCTAGCCTAAATTTCCTTCTCTGTTGATTCCTTCCATTGCTCCTTTACAGATTAGGAAACCAAGGCATAAGCTTAAACAAAGTGGCAGAACTATGTAGGAACCCATACATAGTGTCCTGTGTCCTTTGCTCTCCTCTGGGATCAACTCCAGTTTATCAATGACTTTCCTAACATGTGACAGGTAGGACTTAAATATTCCAGATATGGGCTGACTGGAGCAATATGAAGCCCAACTACAACTTCCACATAGTTTGGGATCCAAACTTGAGCCCTGGGTTAAATCCCATATAATGGAATTTAATAGGGATACTTAGGTGGGAAGAAAATCAACTTCACAAGTAAAAAGGTGAGTGCAAAGCTAGCCAGAAGTTTAAATGATCTCAAGGTTTTAGTGAACTGCAAGCTCAGTCAATGAGTCAAAGTGTTCTGGAGCAGCCTAAATGGTTCCGTTGAAAGACGTAGAATTCCAGGACCTGGAAGCGGTATGTGGGAACCTGAGTCGCCTATGTCCTTTGCTGTCCTCAAGCCTGAATTTGCCTCTCTGTAACTTCAACCCATTGCATATGTAGGCATTAAAAGTCCCAGCCATGTGGAGTTTGTGCCTCTCAGACTTAGCAGGTGCCTTAAGACCATGTGAGTCACCACACCCTGATGATTACTAACAAGATGTATTTCCAGATGGAGACAAAAGGCTGCCATCTCCAGAGAAGCTAAATGCCACTGTAGTCTTGTTGCATATCCTTGGTGTGTTAGGGCAAAGTAATTCTACTTTGCTAAATGTTCAGCGATTAGAGTGCCTCATTTTGTCCCAACATCAAACCTGAGCAAAAAAGGTGCTGGCATTAGAACCACAGCTACAATAATAACCAATAATAGTCCACCAAACTTCCAGGTCCCTCTAGAAGTCTTTGCTTATTTTCTATTCTTACTGTTGTTTATACCTTGGTTCACTGATCCTATTTCATTATAGGCTTGAATAATGCCTGAAAACATTTGGCATACTCCAATCAATGGCCATTACAATCTCACTAGTAGACACTGAAGTGTGCTCTATAGGAGCTACAGCTTTTGCATACGTCCTTGGAGTAATATCCATTCTTTAAAAACATAACAAAAGGGGAAAATGAAACACCTGTATGGCCTGAAATCAACTGACAGAGAACTAACTAAAGTTCTGAGGTGTATGGATATTCAGGGAGGACTACCACCTCTTGTGGCTTGCTGAGTCCTTTTCAGGGCAATTCATCCACCTTTGGTGTTCACCTTCACCCAACTCTCACCTGTGGCTCCAAGAAACTGTAGCATGCAGCATGTACAGTGGCCACACCCCAGTAAATTGTCTCAGCAGACAGGATAAAACCAGGTTGAGGGTACCTGACAGGCCTCAAACTAGTCAGTGAGTTAAGGGTATGTCTGTAAATGTGAAGACCTTCCCTAGCAGATGAGAATAATTTGTTCCAACAGCCATGAAGCATGCATTGTGGAGCACTTAGAATTTGGTCAGACGCTGAAGACACCAAGGTCATTGAAAACTCCAAGGTCATCCACTGCATCTTGGGCCATTGCCAGTCATCTTGATTTTTGTCTTGCCACTTCCATGACTTAGGAAGAGAGAGTGAGGTTGGCGACTTTGTGCAACTCTGCCTCACTAAAATTCAATTCATGTTCAAGTCAAGACATCCTGTGATGTCATTGGTCCTCTTCAAAAACAAAGGATGAACAATAACAACTGAAGTTCTAGAAACCAGCTGAATTTGGCTTTTTCTGGTCAACGTCAGACATTCTGAGGCAGACTAGTGTCAGTTGAAGCACATATGCATACACATCACTGTCACAAAATAAAAACATATCAAAAGTATTACTCTCCCAAGTAATCAGCATGTCACTAGGGTTGTCAGGCAGTGTGCTAGGTGCTAGAATTCAAAGACAAGTGAAACAGTCCCTGCTACTCAAGTTTATATTCTATCAGAGGATGTACACAGAAAAAATAGATAAAAATATAAACAAAATGATTAAGTACAGGGAAATACACTGATAGAAAACCTGCTATATGAATAACCATATAATTGGGACCTGTAAGGGATAGATTCAAGTCAACAAGCATTTATTAATTACCTGCTATGGGCCAGTTGGGCAGTTGGTGATACAGTGAATACAGCACTGGGCCTAGAAAACTCATCTTTCTGAGTTCAAATCTGGCTTCAGATACTTATTAGCTGTGTGACCCTGGGCAATTCACTTAACCCTGTTTGCCTCAGTTTCCTCATCTGTAAAATGAGCTGGAGAAAAAAATGGCAAAGCATTCCAGTATCTTTGCCAAGAAAATCTGAAATGGGATCACAAAGAGTCAGACACAACTGAAATAATTGAATGACAAATGTCCTAGTCACTGTGCTTAGCTCTGGAAAAAGAGACAAGGTCAGTATCTTTGGTCTGAAATGGGAGACATGGTGCCCATCCTCATGAACTACATGGTCTGGACATGGTCTTGACCCACAGGGGGCTCCAGTCTACTGGGGGATGGTATTTTATATATGGGCCAACAAAGAAGGAATTTACCCCAATGACTCAATGATTTTCTGGCAGAACCAAGATAAAACATAAACAGTAATGTAATCTCCATTACCGACAGACACTTTGTACCAACTTAATTCTTTTTAAATAAGTCCTGCATTTTATACAAAATAATGCAAAGCTTAAAAATTAGAATGATTTTACATGTTCATTTCAATTATGTAAAAAGTATATACAATCAGAAGGATTCAAAGAGGCAATTCCTTTATGATTTCTGTGGCAGCTGTTTGTGTATGTGTGTGTATTTTGGAAAGCTATTTAAATATACAATTTTTTAAAAGTCCTCCAAACTCTGATGTCCCCCAGTTTTCTCTGTTTTTTTGCCAAGGCTACATACCTAGCACAACAAGGATGGTACTATTTCGCTTGGTCTGCCTTCGCTTTTATTATATAGACATACCTTATTTTATTTTGCTTCACTTTATTGCACTTCACAGATATTATGTTTTTTACAAATTGAAAGTTTGTAGAAACACTTCGTCTACTGGCCCTTTCTTCCAACAGCATATGTTCACATCATGTCTCTATGTCATATTTTGGTAATTCTCACAATACTTCAAACTTTATTATTATTATTGTATGTTATGGCGATCTGTGATCAGTGATTTTTGATGTTACTATTCTAATTGTTTTGGGGCACCACCAACTGCGCTCATAAAAGACAGTGAACGTAAATGTTAGATGTGTTCTGACTTCTCCATGTAATGGCTATTTCCTGTCTCCCTCTCCTCTGGCCTCCCTATTTCCTGAGACACAACAATATTGAAATTAGGCCAATTAATAACCCTACCTCTAAGAGTTCAAGTGAAAGGAAGCAGTCAATGCGGCAAATTTCATAGTTGTCTTATTTTAAGAAATTACCACAGCACGCCCAACCTTTAGCAGTTACCATCCTGATTAGTCAGTGGTCATCAGCATCAAGGCAAGACCCTCCACCAGCAAAAAGATTACAATTTGCTGACAGCTCAGATGATAGTTA